TAAAAGAAATAGGGTGAATACATCTTATTATTTAGCCTGACCTACCAAAACGTGATTTAATGCATTTTCAGCCTCATATAGACTTAATTGGACCCACCAGCGGGATTCGAGCCAAGATCGTGAGTAGCGTGGCAACACACACGACCAAAGGGTGTCATTGATTCACAGGGCAGATACAACTCTTACGCTAATCTAGGCCTCGCCCAGACCACGTTTTGATAGTGGGATTAGCAAACGTGCGTGTGCCACTGCAATCGACGACACTACTTATTGTCGATATAAGTAGTCTTATATATTGTCAGAAATATTTGAATAAAAGCTCAGTATGTACCCGCAGACTGGTGTTCTGGGGACTCGAGCTGGCTTGAGCCGAAAGGCTGGGAATTCCTGCAATATTCGCATCTTTTTCTGGCCCACTCCTCGACTTTGTCCGCCTCCACGAGGGCTCCAATTGCTTCTTCAGGCCAGTTGGAGGCGTGGGGCTGTCGCCTCCATCCGGAGTCGAATGTACAACGGACCGATCTTGCGTAATTTCGCAATGTCGCCCCACAAATCCGGGCAGACAGAGGCACTCGTAACTCCCGGGCAGATCACGGCAGGCTGCTCCGTTCCTACACAACGGCTCGACAAAACTGGCGTCTTTCCGTTGGTAGGGCACCTCGTGCTCGAGTCCTCTGCGGTACCTGTCGTCGGGCCGGAGACTGGTCCTGACCGCATCAGCAACTGAGTCCCGAGCCGGACGGTTGAGGTCGTGTTTTATCGCAGTAGAAGATGGCTTTCTGTAGGAAAGAGCCATTGCTGACCGTTTCCGAATTGCCGATTCCGACGGTGACGCCAAGAAAGTGGCCGATTTAAGCGAACGAGCCAATGCTCTACCGGCCTCCGCGCATTCATTCACATTCTCCTCGCAGGTGGTACCACGCCAACCGGACGGGCACATGCAGACGAACCTGTCTGCTTGGTCACGGCAGACGCCGCCGTTGGCGCATGGCGAGGCAAGATGGGACGAGGCACCTGTTGCTGAGACTGACAACCCGAGGCTGGACGACGGCGAATGGTGTCGCGAGGAGTTCTTTGCGCCGATGACGAGTGAAGACCTGAGGCAGAGGGAAAGTGGAAGCTGGCAGTCGTAGCCTCGAAATCCAGCCGGGCAGATGCAGCGGTATCCTCCCATCATGTCGACACAACGACCGCCTACAAAATACGTGGGTTAAGAGGATAATAGGCGAATCAATTGAAACATTTTTCGTTGTATTTATTGTAGGCAAATATGTATTCGACATTGCAATCGATGACTCTACTTATTTTCGTAATAAGTAGTGTTTTGAGACTATGATATTTTATTAACTTATAACTTATTTCATGAGTGACCCAGTTTGGCGGTAAAGAGGATATAGGCGAATCAATTGAAACATTTTTCATTTATAAGTAGACTTCCAGAATTGTATTTATTGTAGGCAAACATGTATTCGACATTGCAATCGATGACTCTACTTATATTCGTAATAAGTAGTGTTTTGAGACTATCATATTTTCTTAACTTATACCTTATGTCATGAGTGACCCAGTTTGGAGGATTTTTTACCCAACATCTACTCCTAAACCCGAAATCATATCTAAAATAAATACATGTGATTAACTAGCTTTCGTGGCAATCTGACTTAGTTGTCAATTTTTGAGATTTTGCGCTGTACTACCACAGCCTGAGTTTGATTCCCGTTGAGGATATTGGTGATATCATTTCAGGCGAGGTCGAAACCGCACTCCAGTACAATTCAGCCGAGAAAAGAATGCCTGCTGGCAAGCGAGGCCATGATAAATTTAGTGGATACATGAGACCTATGGAGAGAAGCTGAGTTTCGAAAAATCCCTTACCAGATTGATACTGGCATACCTTTCTATTTGTTTGCGAAATAGGGGGGAAGAGATATGTCGATGGAAGGTTGCCTTGGACCTTTGTCTATTGAATTCTGCGAAAAAGACCTTGGCTCACCATCCCACGACCTCGATGACTCCGTGTTGAGATTTCGTTCATCATGTGACGGACGTTGTCAGAGCAAGAAACTGTTATTCACGAACAATCACCAACTTTCTTGGTTGAGTGCTTTTAGTGATTGTTCATGAATAATGGTTTTTGGCTCTGATATAGTCCATCATTTGACTGAGTCGTCGAGGTTCTAAGATGGTGAGTCAGGTTCTTATACTCACAAATCAATAGAAAAAAGTCCAAGACAACCTTCTTCGATATTGGGTGAGGCCAATCTACGAATCCTTTCCACTTGCTTTCTCAAACGAAATAAAAAGGTGATGAATGAGGCCAACTTTTGAGAAAACAAAGCTATGTGAAATTGAATGGAAACATCAGCTCTACTTAACTGATTGTGGGAAAATTGTACTACCAGTTCTTCATCACCTTAAACGAAATTGGGTGAATACCCCTCATGTAACTATGGTTAAGACAATAAGATGTAACCATGTAAGTTTTTAAGTCACGTTACCAAACCATGTATTCTAACCTCTCAATCTAGGGTCATTGAGGCTTAACCATCCAAGGAAAGGCATGACGGAGGCTGCGTATATGACCATTATGACCAAGTTGGCAGAACAAGGTCAAACAACTTCTATACAGCGAAAGGAGACTTCGACCATACAAAATATCACTTCATCCAGTTCTTCATACCTTTAAGCATTGGTGGTCCCTACCAACCTTCTACTAGCCTTCCTCACACCTTCTCCTATTATGCCATCTTTTACGAGAGAAAAGTGATCTATTCTCGAGATCCGGCTGCTAAAAGATTGTGTACTCATGTGGTCGACATTTTGTTGGTGAGAATTGTCGGTTAATTAGACAAAGATGAGAGGAGCACAAAAATATTTGTAAAATAAGCTGGGTCCAACGGTCAGAAGTGGCCAAAACACGGAGAACAGAGACTGGGCGTGAGATAGAAAGCCTCAAACGAGTAGGTTTGTCGATGAAAAGAAGATACAAGATGCTATTAAAATAAATAGATTAGGGCAGTGATTCCCAAACAGCGCGCCGCGGCCTCTTTACAGGGGCGCTTCATAATTAATTTAACCCAGACATTTGATCTGACTAAACAAAAACGTGAGAGAAAACGTTGCGTCTTCTCGATCGCGCCATATAATCGCACTAGACACGTCGAGGTGCGTAGAACCTTCGCGACAGATTTGGAATGTTCTGGAAGATCGTGTGGAAAGTATATATGCAAGCGTTGTCGGCTCGATTCACTCAGTCGACTTATAATTTGAGTCTACTGAAGTTAAACTCGGCGCTTCATATAAAAATAAACAGTGACATGAATTAGTAAATGAGATTTTATTGTAATTTAGTTAGTGTTATATTACTTCTTGTTTGTTGTCTTTAAATAAGTATAGAGCACAAATCAACCTGGAAAAGGAAATGAGGGTGGCCGTTTCCAGTTTAATTACATGATTTGAAAAAAGGCTCATCCATAACATTGATTATTAAATATTAATTTAATGTAAATAAAGTAAACAAAAAATAATGAAGATACACGAGTTTTATTTATTTGAAAAAGAGCGCCGCGACTAGGAAAAGTTTGGCAACCACTGGATTAGGAAATATGCTGAATGTGAAGAGCGGTGATAGAATTTTGACTGAGAACTACTAATAGTAGTTATTTTACCTCGTTTTTGCAACTTGTTCATATCGGCAGGAAGACTTAGAGCAACTCGCGTTGACCAGAGTCTATAGAATGCTTCATCATTTCCAGAGTCTTGCCATTCTCAGCACCACCTTCAGCCACAACTCGTCAAAGAGACAAGCGATGTCGAACCTTTGACCAATTGTCTGCTAAACAGTCGTGGTATCTCTATTCATCTATTCTATACCTCGGCCTCAAGCGTTTGATAGCACGTATCATTCAGCTTCATTGAGCAATCCCCTAAAGTCTGAATTCTCAGTTGGCATGGCAACCTAACATGACGCCAACTATCAATGTTCTCCGCTCTTCTATCCCTAATGACGAGTCCATGATTTTCGTATGTCCACATCTCTTGCGTGACGACCCCCAAATGTGATGGCTCTACTTGATTTGGATAGGCTCACTGAATACGTCTTTTCTTGATTTCCGATTGTTACTCTCTGGTCGCGTTGTGACCTCTTTTCCTAAAATTAAAAATAATACCTCTCTTTGGTCATATTTTTTTTGATATTGCTGCTATCTCATATTTTCCGGGTTTTATTAGGCAGTATGCAAAGCTTTCGTCAATCCTGCCTTGTTCAAGTCTCCTGTTCATTAGGTTTCTTTCAGTCTGGATACCAATTGCGTTTTCTTGTATTTCCACCCCATGCAGCCAGCTTTTCTGTCGAATTCCACCCGATTTCGTGTCCCGTTCGTGCGATATGTTCCGCTATTTCGGATCTTTTGACGTCCAAATTTCAGCACATTCTTTGGTATTCCTTGATTTGTGGGCTAATTTTTCTTCCTCTTTTATCAATACATTTATGCTCACAGTTGCCATATTTTGATGCGATAAACTGACAAGCAGCCCAGTTTTCGCATTCTTCTCGTTTGCGTCGGCGGACTGGTGAAAAGTGTTGTCTTCTCCTTTGTTATTACTTTGATATTCCATTTTACCAGTAATTATTGCAATTTTTGGCTCAGTTCATAGGAGGGCAAGAATATCTAATTTCGGTCCTCCTGATTTGTGATCGGATTTTCCTAAAATCCGATTTGACATCCGTTCATTATCACACCTACATGTATTTTTATATATTCTCTGGGGTACCAGTTTTTAAGCAAAATCCAAGTCACTTTCTTCAACTCCTCGTTCCAAAATTCAGCGTCACTTCCCACAGGGCGGGATGGAATAGCCAGCGGGTGTGTGAATATGCTACAAATAGGTCAATATAAACAAGTAAACAATGGTGCTATTGAAGGGATGATACGATGCTATGGAATAGATGAATAGTTCCAGACAGAAGGAGAGATACCACAACTGTTGAGCAGACAATTGGTCAAAGGGTCGACTTCATTTGTCTCTTTGACGAGTTGTGGTGTGGTGCTAGCGCTGGCAAGGCTCACTGTGAATGCCTGTGAAACGTGTGGGAATGTGCCACGTCTACGGTTCGAATCTGGAATTTGCATTGCATATCATGTACTCCGGACAAGATGCATTCCTCTAGGTCTTCCTGCCAATATGGCCAAGTCGTGAAAACATGATCAAACAACTATTATACTACACTACTATACAACAGATCACACCATTTTGGTATTCATATCTCCACAGAAATACGTATGTTTTATTGACAGATTGAAGGAGAGAGAGGGAGTTGAGTCGCCAAACAAAAGAAGACGACTCACCTTTTTCTGATCAGTGTTGGTTTTAACCTTACTCACGTTCGTGCAACATTTTAGATTAATTGAATATATGAAGACCAAGATGTTGTGGCCTCTGTTATGGTGGCAGTCTCTTTTCGATGTATAGAAGTGGGTTGACCTCGTTGTCGCAACTTGGTCTTGTTGTCAGGGCGACTATGTAGAA